CGACGACTACTACGACTACTACGACTCGACTACGACTACTTCTACTTCTACTCCCACCCCCACTCCTACTCCTACGCTTACTACCAGCACCACCACCACCACCACCACCACCGCCACCACTACTCTGTCGGTGGACTCTGAGTCATGTGCTGGCTCTTCTCCTGTGGGGACAGATTTGCCGGCACCACCAGATCCTGCGGACAGCGGATTCCAGCACTTAAGCTTCAGGGCTTACAGGGCCATCCGCATCCCGCATGGCAGGGTAGGTAGGGCTCAAGGCTTCGGCGCTCGCAGTCGGACACTTATGGAAGGCTGCTATGCCGAAGTGAGATTAAGTTCACAGCAATAGGAAGCCAGCCATGGTCACCCAAGCAATCCGAAGCGGAAGCGAGACACCGCTGATGCAATGTAGGGCCAGGTTCAGAGGGGCAGAGCTGCAGGCAATACTGTGTGAGCGACTGCCTTGTCTCCCCGTGGCAGATCGATTTTTACTTCCCCAGAACTGGTTGTCTTGACTTGTTGGCGGTAGTGGTAGCAATGCTGATTCTCATTTGCCATTGCTGCTGTTCCAGTCAGAACCAGAAGCGTTTCATCTGCACCAGCTCAATCGGTAGGTGTGCAGAAACAAGCAGGTCCGACCAGTCATGTGGACCGCTGGTTCATGAATCCTAGCGTTCATGTCTCAGGGCCAACCTCGATATGGGAAGTTCGTGCGGCTTCAGCAACTCGGCATCGACTCTGAGGTCACAAACAATCTGAAACAACAAGAAAACAGCCAGCATCATGAATGAATGCAACATCAAGCTTAAGGTAACCGATTTTTCCCCTCACTAGAGTACGTAACATTCTCTCGATTTTTTCAATGGCCGAAAACCGACGGCGGTGCTCCAAGGCCCCAGGACTGAGAGTCCTTCGGATTCCTGTCGGCGCTCTCCGCCGCGAGCCAGGCGCCAGCTGCGGCGCCTCGGACACTGAGCTCTGGTCATCTCCGCGCATCCTCTGGCACTTAGGAGATCTCTATGACTCGACTCGGAGTGACATGGACTAGCTCGTCGACCATTAGGGAGCAGAGGATGAGCAGTAGCAGGAGGGAGAGAAATTGCGGATGTGGAGACTGAAGCGATGATTTGCGACAAAGAGTTTGATGGCAGTGGTCGTCACGTATGAAGGTCGGAGGTTGTTTGGGCTAAGTCGTGGAAGATGCAGATTGGGAAATAGACTTGACTCAGTTGCCCGCTGTGGCAAAGCCTGTGCGCGAAGTCGAAGTGCCTGGGCGAAAGCATTTAGGTGCCAGGCAAGAACAATACCGAGAATAGGACGAGCAACTCGTCACCGGTAGCAACAACAACGAAAAAAGCGGCAACAGCAATCACGGCAGCCGTCTCTGTTGCTGTAGCGCGGGAAAGAAGAATCCGGAATCCAAGACGTGAAAAGCTCACCGGAAAAAAGGTCCAACGACAACACTCCCGCAGCAATGCACAACTGCAGCAGCAGCACCACCACCAGGAATGACGACAGCAACACTCGACTACACTGATGGCTACGGAACACAAGAGGTGACTCTGGCTGCTCGGTGCCCAGAAACGACACAGTACAAGCACAACAGCAATAAGGCCAAGGCTGAAATGACACCGAGGCCAAAGGAGAGGCCCTTTGCACCTGCCTGCCCGGACGGCCTCGCAGGCTTTTCACTTTTCTCTGCAGGCTCGTTACATGCACTGGAGCTCCTGTTGCGCTTGGACTCTTGAGATACTGCCCACGGTACAAAGACCGACTGAGCCCTTGCAGTCGAAGTGAAGTCCTGATAGGTCGCTTGCTGATCCGCCACGGTCCTGGCAGAGATCGACTGCCTGCTCGCTGAAACTTGTACTTTCCAAAGCAGGACCCACCTGTTGCGGCATGTTGAGTTGCTGCAGCTATCCTCAGGCAGGGCAGGCACATCATCTCCCTGACTTGCTTGGCCAAGCCACAACTGCTGTTGCAATCAACCTGGGTCTTGTCTAAGCTTCCTGCGAGGCATGGCTGCAGAGCCATTTTTGCATGCTTCGAGTTGGTCAATGCTACTGCGTCGTGTGCTTTCACCTTTTGGCGAGGTGATCGGTGAGACTCAAAGGCTCCAATGATCGCCGGGACAAACGTAGACGGCATACACGATTAAGATCAAGATCGATAGACCTCATGAGAAATTGAGATCGCACGTCTGTGAGCAAAAGCTCGCACGCAAGAGCAGGACGAGGGGCCCAGATGATGATGGGCACTATGGGCCGCCTTGCCTGCAGATGCCTCATGCTCAGGCCGCTTCCCTGCAACATGCAGATTCTGAAGCAAGTGCAAAAGGAAGACGCGCGGGCTTGAAGCTCATAGTTTGTCCCTCAAAGGCGACGCGCGGTTGAAACAGCGGTCGATCTCTGCGTATGGCGATGGCCACAAGCGATTTGGACCAACTCGTCTCTGCCTCAATCAATCCAGGAGCACTGCAGGGGGCTCGGGGTGCCACCCGATTGCTCCAAGTGGACGAGCCTCTGAGAAGATTCGGACAAGGACAAGCTTAAAGAAGCACAGTCGACTTTGAAGCCCCGCAAGACAACTTGAAGAGATGCTGTACAACGGCCTGTCTGCAGCTCGCAATGTGACACGCGTGGTGCAGCTTGACCTAAACATGCATGGAGGCCGTATGTCCAAGTATTCTACCAGAAGCCTCCAGCGTGGTGCGAGGAGGATCACCAACACCTCGCAGGACAGAGAGTCGGTAGCACCAGATACTTAGGGTTTAGGGTTTAGGGTTGAACCCCCAAGTGATCACGGACTTCTCACTCACAATCAAAAACGGTGATGAGCAATCCGCTTTTCACCTCGCAGGCGTCATGGAAAATCAAAAGCGATGCGCAGCAACTCTTCAAACACGTACGGAGATGGGCGCCAAGAGTTCGTTTTTTGATACAGCTGCTGCTGCACTAGAGTTACTAGAGCCAAGGTCGGAGCATTTTCGGTGTGACATAAATGCACATTCTGGCGCGATTCGAGCATATAGTTCTATGTAAGCATCCCTTTCAAACACAGCTTGAGAGCAGAGGGACGAAAGCTAGGGGGAGGGATGTGGCAGATGTGTAGTATTGCACCTGCTTGGATCTCCATGTCAGTGCCCCCAGTTCCGCAGCTATGTGCCGAATGATAGGGGGGCTCTAAGTCTGCTGTGTGAAGCACGGGCCCTTGAAAGGAGGGGAGCGGGGGGGGGGAACCAAGGTGCGGGCAGAGGGGTCCCCAAGCAACAGCCCCAGCAAATCACCCTTCCTTGGTACCTTAGGGGTGGGGGGCCCGGAAAATGGCTTAGCGGCTAAGCCAATTTCCGGGTCCTTGCGATGGAGCCGACAAATTGGCCAAGCCAATTAACGATCGTCCACGTCCGGCCGTTTCCTTAGCCACTTATTGCCGCCGACGCTAGAAGCCGAAAATGGCTAGCGAAGACGCTCCGCGTCCTCTAAGCCATTTTTGGGACACCTCCGTCATGGTCCGATCCGGAAACATTAATTGGCTAAGGAAAAAACCTCGTTAGCCCTTCTTAAGGGATGGGGGATCCCGGCAAGCTCCCAAAAAGCCTGCAGTCGCGATTTTGAAATACTTTGCGGTTTCGAAGCTTACACGGGACTGGTTTCCGTCTCATGGGCTGGACAGAAGGGCGGCAGCCGGAATTTCAGGATTGGAAGCCAAGGCTTCTATGCATCAGGGTTGTTCGGCTCAGGCCTGGACAGATCTAATTGCGGAGGCGATCCCTAAAGGCCGTTCCTGTCGTACCCTAGATGTAGCCGCATGCCGAAATGATTGGCCCTCATATCTCCTGTCGTACGCTACCAACGAACTCTTGGCAACCTCGCGACACAAGAGAAGGTAGCAACTGCCGGCTTAGCCTCAACTGCTAGCCTTGACATCTCCGCATTCTTCGGGAGCTTGTGACGGCAAGGATTGCTCGAGCTGAGACATCGCCGACTAACCACACCAGTCCCTCGAAGAAGCCTCTCCGAAGCACTGGTCGTGAGGACTGAGACCTGTGATCGCTGTCGCTCTGGACTTCGGACAGTAAGTAGATGTTGAAGAAACGGCGTGCTGCTCACATCGCGCTCCTGAAACCGAAAAATGTCGATACTCTAGTCACGGTCGAGGCATCGGCGATCCAGCGATTTCAGGCCGCTGCCCTCCATTTTCCGTTAGGACAGCTTGGGAAAACAGTCGTCATCTTCGTATGGGCCATATGCAAAAGTAACAATACTGCCCAGCCGTCCTCAAGTTAAACCTGGGAAGAAAAAGTGTCCTTTCGGCGACTGGTATAACAGTCTTGCCGGGAAAATGCCGCTTTTCCCCATGGCGATTTGCCATGGGCGAATCTGCCGCGTCGTTCTTCTTAGACTCCATTCTGATCCTAGAGGAATTGGTTGCATAGGCAACATCCACATCAGGTCTGAATTCTCAACTTGTGGAGCTTGAAGTTTCTGAGGAAGGGAGCACACAGGCGCAATTTCGATCCACAGTTTTGGGCTTAGGGATTGTAGGGTCTATAATCATCGATTGCTTTGAATCGGCGGGGCAAATCTTGTCTGCAAACCATTCATCTACCCTGGAGTACGATAAGCCTGCTCATCGCCGCACTGCTGCCGCTCCAATCAATTATGGTGGCGTAACGGTCAAGTCCGTCGACTGGCTCCCGTTTTCGCTGTGAAACGGGGTGAAACTGCTCCATAGCAATCGCTCTCAAGGAGGTGGAAATCGAAATCTTTGGGTCCTCTCATGCATCTTCCATGCAGACCTAGCTGCTGCTCATAATAGTTAGTGTCACTGTATACTTCTTCATGCCTCAAGCTGCCAGTCAACTACATGCAAGTCAGCTACTGCATGTCGACTGGCACGATCTTGTCTTCACCTTGCGCCACGCTAGACACGAAGTTGCTAAACAGCCGCGCAAAGGCCGTGGGCTTCGCAGCAACTGTGCCGCTGGAGCTGCTCTTCGAAGCGCTTCGATACAGCCACAAGTCTGTAACGTTGCCCCGTTCGTTCATGGAGTTCACATACTGTCTCGCATATGCTCGTGCGCAGGAGTATATATCCCAAAAGCGCTCTATGCAACCCGAGAACTCGGACTCGAGCAGGCTTAGGAGGTTGGACTCGGTCTTTGTAACGAGATCACCACAATGGCACCAAGGCGTCCAGTAAGTCATCTCACTGATCCACCTGCCCTTGGGAACTCTTGAGCGACTCATGTTCGCTTTGTATAGCACATCTCCAAAGACCACGAAATAGCCTGCACGCGCAACTGCCCCCGATTCAAAGACAGCCTCACCTGCCGGAAAGCTGGCCTGAGAAATTGCGCGGGTGGCCAGGTACTCCAGCACCAGCATGTCAGGTTCATTGCCGTCCAGTCTGAGGGATAGCAGATATTTCGAGAACCCAACTTCTCGTAGCTGAGTCTCGTATCTAGCGAACTGCAATTCACGCTTCAATGGTTTCGAAAGGAGCTGCAGCACAGGTACCTCAGACTCGGGACGACCTTCTTGATTCATGGCATACGCACGCTCCAAAAACAGTGTTATACGTAGCCGAAGGCTAGCGTCCACTCCGGCATGTGCAAGGAAACGTCTCAGCTGTCTGAAGTGCTCCCGGTGCTCGTCCGCAACCTTGCTCAGCTTTGCGCTGTTGCTTGTGATGGTTCCCAAGAGCACAGCAAAGATGAGAAGTGCCACAGCTGCAGCCACAATGGCAAAGAGAATCTCCAAGTCTGTTTGCGGATCTGTTTCGGTGACACCAAAGCCGAAGCAGCAGAACATCCAATAGAGAGATGCGGTGTACTTGTAAGCGAACGATCTTTGATGCGCACCGGTCCTTGCGACCCATCCGTCAGCCACATTGGCAGCGCCGACATAGTACCAGGAACAAGCCATGCAATGCTGTATGAGCCTGAGCATCTCATAAAACAGCTTAAAACAGAACGCTGTGTGCGGCGACTGAACCCGACGCCGTCTGGTGCTATGGTGGTGGTGCAGTTGGTTGGTGTTGTTTTGGCGGTGGTAGTGGTCTCGGTCGCGACAGGTGGCGGCGGCTAGTTGGGGTCGCTGTGCTGCTGTTGTTGTTTCTCCTGCTTAGCCCCTGCTGCTCAGCACAACTCGTGGCATGCTGGCTCCAACGTGCGGTGACAGTAAAAAACCACAGCCATTCTCAGCGCCGCGAGTTGCCCCTTTCTGCCTCCCGCCTTGCTAGGACGAACCTACGACGCAAAGTATTTTGCTAGATCATCGCAGCCGTCCTTTTGCCAACTATAGCCAACTGATGTTTGAGCCCAGACACAAGATTTGAACAGAGACACTCACAATGTTCAGCTTTGCGACGAGCAGGTCTGACATCACGTGTCCTGGTCAAATGCGAGCAAGCTTCGAAGAAACTAGTACATTGATCCCTCGCCGATACAGACGTAATCCTTAAGTTGTAGAAGCTATCGCCTGTAATACTGTGCGTGATTGATTGACACAACAATATACTGGTTCGTAGTAGTCGTTGGGTGGCGGGTAGTGGTAGTGGCAGCCGTAGTGCTAGTGGTGGTTGTGGTGGTGGTGGTGGTGGTGGTGGTACTGGTGGTGGTACTGGTACTGGTATAGTACTGGCAATGGCACTGGCACTGGCACTGGCACTGGTAGTGGTAGTGGCAGTGGTAGTGATGGTGGTCGTGGTAGTGATAGTGGTAGTGGTAGTCGGAGTGGTAGTAGTGGTGGTGGTGGTGGTGGTGGTAATGGTACTGGTAGTGGTGGTAGTAGTGGTGGTGGTGGTACTGACAGCGGTAGCGGTAGCAGAGGCGGTGGCGAGTAGTGGCAGTCAGTACTGTTGGTGGTAGCAGTAGCAGTAGTGGCAGAAGTAGCAGGATTAGCAGCAGTGGTACTAGTAGTCGTCGTCGCAGTAGTATTGATACAAGTATAAGTAGGAATACACGTAGCAGCAGCAGTCGTAGTTGTCGCAGTAGTAGATTTTTGTCACCCACTCGGCACGCCCAATGAGTAACAGTAAGTGGTAGTAGTAGTAGTAGTGGTGGTAGTAATAGTAGTAGTAGTCGTCGTCGTCGTGATAAAGTAGCAGAAGTAGTAGTAGCAGTAGTAGTAGTAGTGGTAGTGGTAGTGGAAATGGTAGTGGTAGTAGTAGTAATAGTCATAGTAAGAGTACTAGTGGTAGTAATAGTCATACTATTAGTAGTAATAGTAGTAGTATTTGTAGACGTAGTAGTAGTAGTAGTAGTAGTAGTAGTAGCAGTTGTAGTAGCAGTAGTAGTAGTACTACTACTACTACTACTACTACTACTACTACTACTAGTACTAGTACTAATAGTACTTGTAGTACTAGTAGCACTAGTAGTACCAGTAGTATTCGTAGTCGCTGGTAAAAGTAGTTGTGGAAGTAGTAGTAGTAGTAGTAGCAGCAGCAGCAGCAGGAGTAGTAGTAGTAGTAGTAGTAGTAGTAGTAGTACTACTACTAGTCGTAGTGGTGGTGGTGGTGGAAAAACCTGTTGAACTTGCGATGA